ACCGGCATTTCCATCGGCAATTCCCCCCGCTCCATCTGCTTGGGGCAGAGCAACAACCAATGCTGCGTCAGCTGGTCGGGAGCTGTCGGGACCATGCCGGAGAGCGATTTGGTTAATGCGGCGAATTCTATCTTCGCCACCTGCTGGAGCCCGACCAACGGATCGGGGTTGGCACGCAACGTCATCCTCAACAATATCTGCGTTACCGAGTGTCTATCTAACCGTCCCGACGGATGCTCTTAAAGGGGGGATCGGGGAGAAAGACGAGACGAGGCTCTCTTCTTGGGAGAGCAGTCAGAAACTGATGGATGGATTGAAGGGGTTTAAACGATGATGATTCTAGTTCTTCTTAGGCTCGAGTGTTCCGAATATGATTGATCATTACTGTTTTGCACTTGGAAGAAAGGAAGGAAGGAAGGAAATATAACTTGAACTTAACGCAAGGTGATCATGGAGGGCCTTCAAGCCACAGTCGAAGTGAAAGTGATCATCTTGACCGATGTCGATAGAAATGGTACATTTGCATCCGATCATTCCGCTCATTGCACTGGTCAACAGACTGAGCTCCCTTTACTTGTATGCCTTGAATTATCTTGGTTCAGCATGTCCCTACGAAATATGTTGCTCAGCTGAAAAACGAATCACTCATTACTACTCTCCAATGCCCATGTAGAGGAGTGAGCTCGACTTCAGGCTTGATATTGATTTCTGCAACCTCTTCGAACCGTCAAACAGAAAAACAGCAAATTAGTGCTATTTTCCAGTACAGACGCCGCCCCGGGGGGAGCCCCAACAGTACAGAATCCTACTTAGAGTCTCGTGAGAATAACACCAGTGACCTGTCAGTTGACCTACCTTTTGAGCAGCTAGCATCTCCTAGACAGATGCTTCAACAAATTCCAACTCGTTCCTCGTTTAATTGAAGTCTGTTAAGGTAGACCCCATCCACCCTCGACAAACATCACGTGGTGTTACGGTCACATTTCCTTTCTCGGTCGGACGGTCGAAAACAATTAGTATTAACATAACGAAGGATGCCAGTGCAAATCCCTACGACCAGATTGTGTATATACAGGTGCAGTAAGTATAGAAAAAAAACTAGAGCTCTACACACTCTGTGAGTTGAGGAATTGTAGGAATTATAATAAATATGATGGATGCCAGCGTGGCAAGCGATTTGGGTCGATTATGGGACAGATTTGATAATTCCAGGTCCAAAATCCCCATTCCCCCATATATTTTCGGTTCCGCCTTATTCACAGCACCTTATCCCCAAAGTGGTCGTAGGATTTGGCCTAATTAGAGCTAGTGATTATTTTACAGATTTTTCTACAGGAGCCGTCCGAAAAAGGCAGTTGTCACACCGCACCACGTGACGTTCGTCGAGGGTGGATGGGGTCTACCTTAGTACTGTACCATTTCGACCAAAGGTTCACGTGACGGGTGACGGAGGGTCGTGAACTGAACAATTTTCACTTAGGTGACGGTGACGGACGGTTTTTGGGGCCCAAATGGGTCCAAAAAGACGAAATTTTTTGCTCCGGCATCCGCCGGCTTACCATTTAGGGTAATTTTCCCATGATTGCCGAGGAATGAACATTCAATCCAGTGAACAATTGAGGTGACGGGTGACATACCGTGAACCTTTGGTCGAAATGGTACAGTAAGCGCGGGGGTCCGTGCAAAATTTTGTTACATAATCAGCGGAGTTTGAATCTCGATGCGCTTGACGCGTCCTCTTCCTCTCTCTTCTGCATGTGTTTTCTTCTTGCTTTCTTGCAATACATCCCTAGCCAGCATCCCCACACATGACTCGACATTCCTATGGCTCCCCGACTCCGCTGGCAGGATGAAATCGGCCGGCAAACTCTCGCGTGTACCGTCAAGGTCTTACCGTAATGAGAGGATGGGCTGTGTTAACAAACGAAGTTGGCGTACAGCGTTTCCCTACCTACTTATTTTAGTCTATTTACTAATTGGGACTCGACCTATTTAAGGGTGCGGACGGTTTCATATCCCTCAGTCTTTACCACTACGAGTGCGACTGAGGGGTATGTCTTCTCTTACTTATATTCTACTCATTCACTTACTTACATATTACTTGTAACTTACTCGTATTCTTTACAGGCTGCGTCCCGTGCAAGCGGATCTCGTATCAGCTATACTGAATGGAGATGACGTGCTGTGCTGTACCGCGACCGGTGACGCCAAATCAGCAGCATTCTCCGTTCCAATTCTCGTTTTGACCAAGTACAATGCACATCCAGACCTGTATCCAGCTGGACTGCCTACTCGCGTGGGTCCCATCAGCATCATCGTTATCCCCACGACGGCAATGAAACAGCTGCATGGTTTGTCTTTTTTTGCCCTGCCATATCAACGCGCGCTGACTTCGTCGAGGTAACGCCAGGAAACGAAACCACAGCCCCGAAACGCAAAACGAACTCCAAAAGGAAGCCTCGCGCGCCGATGGAAACAGCGAAGGCATTGATGCTGGTCGAAAAGCACTGCTACATTGCACTTCTCAATAAACACTGCGGCAATCCCCGCTCGAAACGACCACATTGGATTGCATAGCAGCCAATCGACCGCTCCCCTGCTCTCTTTGCCTGTTCCGCTCCAACAAAACTTTAGTGTTTAATGCGCCTCCCTCTGCGATTGAGCTTCCAATTCTAACTCCACCCCCGAAGGCTCGCGTATCTACACATTTTGGCCCGAAAAAGCTGAAACTCACTGCAAAGGAACGCATACTAGCATTATCCGACCTTACATAAGAAATTCAGGAATGCACTTCGCATCCAGGAACAGTACGAAGGACGATTCCGTCACCATCCGCTAACACTTTTCCTTCGTGCTCCTTGCTCGATTGCTATCCTTCTCTTCTTCGTCCGATTTAGATCCGCTCGTCAAGTCTTGGTACCATCGCGAAATGCACACAACACACAGATTCTCTGTACGACGCTATTACCAAGATCCAGGATAAAGTGAACCGGCGGCGAGAATGGGTTCAAGAAGAGCGGAACAGGAAAGCGCGCGAAAGGTGGGGTCAACAAAACGGAAGGCAGTAATCACAGAGGATGAATGCGACGATGTTCAAGAAACCGACACCGATTCTGACATCTCACTGCCTGCTGCCGACGAGGAGGAAGCCCAATCTGATTCCTCATTCCCTGCTGCTCTTCTTCCGAAATGGCAGCCGTGCGCAAATAAAAGGCAAGCATTGGATACAGTTACTAACAAACACGGGCCATAGTACAGAGCGCCGCCAACGTTAGCAAAGATTATGGGCCGTAATATCGGCCGCGGACAAGAAGATAGTTATTCTTACTATATCAACATCGCTTACCATGTATTAAACAAACGCTGTATAATTGTCAGAAGTTAATATTAGAGCTCCAAATCATCCTCTTCATCGGATTCACTTTCCACAATCGGCTCTTCATCCTCTTGAACTTCGTCGTCATCGTCACTCTCATCCCCGTTCTACTCATCTCTCTCTTCTTCTTCATCGTGTTGTAGCAATCCAGTTTCGGGATCCACATATATCGGATTGGAAGACCTGCAGGACCGGGGAGCATAGGACATATCGACTCGGACACCATCGTCCTCGGGCTTGTTGGGATCCGGGGCGCTCAAGACAGAATCCAGTGATGCAGCACTTTCCGCACTGCCAGTAGATCCACAACCCGAATAAGATTCTTCACCACCAGATGAGCTAGAGGCAGGAGAGTCGGAGCGTGTGGGTATTTCATCGCCGTCGAAGTTGACATGGGAAGACTGAGAGCTTGGTGCGGGAGAATCAGAGCGTCCAGGGGATGCATCTCGAGTTGGGACAGTAGATTCAGCTTGACGGTTCATCACCTGCAAAATGTCGCCCAGGGCTGTCAACGAGGAAATAAAATCAGTCAGTTTTCCCTCGTTCAACTGATGACGTCCTCGGGAGAACTGATTTACGGCCGCGTGCCCCATGGATCTCCCTTTACGGAACATATGAACCTCCTGCTCCTTGAACATGGTGAGGAGAAGGCGAAGCTCGTTACGCTGATGAGGAGATGTGTGAGATTTGCTGCGATGTTGCATGTTTCAATTTCTTCCTTGAATCGCAGGAAGTGCTCCACATTCGGCAAAATGGTTTCTCGATACAAGGAACCGTCGAATTTGTCAACGTGTCTCTGCACCATGTCTTTGAGCCAGCAGTTGTAATGCTCTTGATGGAGATCTCCCGGCATCACTTTTCCAAGTTCTCCCATAACGTTCACGAGCCAGTTATCGAGGATGGTGTTTCTGAGGCCCCTTTGACGTCTCATAGCGCAATAGGCAGTATATCTCTGAAAGATATTTCATGTATTTTGATGTGACAAACCTGCAAATTTGAATATTAATATCGCCCTTCGGAACAGCCCACGCCATTTCTATCCACCATCCGAATTCTAGCATAAATTTTTTGCTGTTTCGGAGAATATGATCGCCAGTAAATCCGGGACATTCTTGATGAGTTTTAGAAGGTTCTTGTGCCTTTTTGCCGATTTTTGGATGCAACTCCAGGATATGCCATTCGTACTGCACATCACACTTTTTTCCTTCTGAATTGCTCGCAGTTCACTCGCAGATAAATTACAGTTGAACGTGCACGAAAGGAGACCTAGTAGCGGAGGGAACGTGCCTGCTTTCGATAGTATACGAGTAAGAGTGTGTCGCGGGAAAGCTCCTAGTTCGACTCCAGACTGGGTCATGATCTGATAGTCTCGATTTCTTTTTGGTTGATTCGTCGTTGGAGCGGCTGAAAACTCTCTAATCTGTCAGAGATCGAAAGGGATTGAATGAAACCTAGTAGTGGAGGGCCCGCACCTGCTTTCAATAAGTGAACGAGGTTTATATTGCAAGGCAGGAGCTCCTGGTTCGACTCCAGGCCAGGTCATAGCATCCCCCTCGAGGCTTTTTGTTCCGTTGTCCATGCTTCAAATTCTCTGCTATGTTACGGGTCAAACGAAGGGGAATAAGACCTAGTAGCGGATGGATCGCACCTGCTTTAAGTGAAGAAGAGCTTGAGATCTTAGGTAGGAGTTCCTGGTTCGACTCCAGGCTAGGTCATAGCATGTCTGCTTCTCTATCTTTTTGATTGATTGGTGGTTCTAACTGCTAGAAATACAGTACAAGGCAGAGGTGGAAATGAGGGAAGGAAGACCTAGTAGCGGATGGACTGCGTCTGCTTTCCGTGCAGCAGTCGACTCAGTAGTACGGCAGGAGCTCCTGGTTCAAATCCAGGCTGGGTCATGATCCTTTAGCTACCAGCTTTTTGTTGAATTCGTGGTTTACGCGGCTTCGAATTATGTGACCTATTCAAGGTTGAAAGAGAGGGAAGGAGACCTAGTAGCGGAGGGACCGCACCTGCGTTCAGTGTACTTGGATACAAAACGATACGGCAGGGGCTCCTGGTTCGACTCCAGGCTAGGTCATAGTTCTTTATCGTTTCTCTTTTTGTTTCATTCGTGGTTCGAGCTGCCAAAAATACAGTACAATACAAGGCAGAGGTGGAATTGAGGGGAAGGAGACCTAGTAGCGGAGGGCCCGCGCCTGCTTTCAATAGCACATCTTCGGTCATAGCAGGAACTAATCCCTGGTTCGACTCCAGGCTAGGTCATGCATACTTCTTTCACAACTTTTTATTCGATTTGCGGATTCGCTGCCTCGAAGTCCTGCATGAATTAGAGTTGAAAATGAGGGAATAAGACCTAGTAGTGGACGGACCGAGACTACTTTTAATAGTACATCTTCTTGTTACAGCGGGAACTAATTCCAGGTTCGACTCCAGCCTAGGTGCATACTTCTTTCAAAACCTTTTATTCGATTTGCGGTTCTCGTTGCCTCGAAGTCCTGCATGAATTAGGGTTGAAATTGGGAGTAGGAAGACCTAGTAGCGGATGGCCCGCACCTGCATTCAGTGACGATTATTTGAAAATCTGTGCTGCAGGAACCCCTGGTTCGACTCCAGGCTAGGTCATGTGCATCGTCTTTCAAAACTTTTTGTTTGATTTGTGGATTTGCGGCTCCAAATTCTCTAATCTATCAGAGCTCAAAATGAGGGAAACAAGACCTATTAGCGGACGGCCCGCAATGATTTTAGCTGAACGCAGGAGCTCCTGGTTCGACTCCAGGCTAGGTCATGATAGCGTCTTGCGAGTCTTTTTGTTTACTTCGTGGTTTACGCGGCTTCGAATTATGCGACCTATTTAAGATTGAAAGGGAGTCTAAGGGAAGAAGACCTAGTAGCGGAGGGACCGCTCCTGCATTCACTCGTGAATGATTTTAGCTGAACGGCAGAAGTTCCTGGTTCGATTCCAGGCTGGGTCATGGTCCTCTACCTACCAGCTTTTTGTTGAATTCGTGGTTTACGCGGCTTCGAATTATGTGACCTATTCAAGGTTGAAAGGGAGGGAAGGAGACCTAGTAGCGGACGGCCCGCACCTGCATTCACTGGTAAATGATTCGAACTGAACGGCAGGAGTTCCTGGTTCGACTCCAGGCTAGGTCATCCCGCTCTTTTGATGTTTTTTATTCAATTTGCTGCTGAAAATTCTCCAACCTATCAGAGCTCAAAATGAGGGAAACAAGACCTAGTGGCGGACGGACCGCACCTGCATTCAGTGGCAGTGTGTACAAATTCGCTGCAGGAAACCCTGGTTCGACTCCAGGCTGGGTCATAAAAACTTCCTCGATAATATTTTTTTATTTCTTCTTCCTTGGCTTTAGCTTCGAGCTACAAAATGCGTCTATTGGCGCCCGTCCGTAGTCTCCCGTAGTCAGTCCATGAATCAAATGTTTTTTTTTTTTTTTGAGGCGGATGGAAAAAAACTTGATTATGACCCGTCCGCACATCGCGTACCGAGGCACCATTTTTCAGAAGCGATCAACGCCGTAAGGAAGCCGCATTTTGAAAATCTCCGTGCTAAGAAAGCCCGCCAACTAGTAAAGACCCCGAGCCGGTTAGCCGATGCATCAACACGCGCACACTCACACGATGATATTGATAGCTTCGCCGCTTGAGAATCTCGTCCGCGTCCACGTCGCGTCTTCGTCGGCGCGCCCGTGAGCCAGTAGTTGTGCAATCATTCAGGTAAGCGGATATATGGCTTGGCTGGGCAGGGCTGATTGATATCGGGTGTAGGCCTCGAGTGAGATTGGTATTGGTACATATCGCCGGCGAGCATCGCATTAGACTCGGTGAGTTTTGGAATGGTGGCAGACGGACGTTACTCACCATGACCAGCTTTACCGCGAAAAACACCGAGTTCGCCGCCTATATACTTTTTTTAACGTTAACGCTGGTGCCCGAAAATCACCGTCTTGGCACTCGCAACCCCCGGTCCATCCACACACACGCGTTATACTCGGACGACGGCGACGCGTCCCACACCGGTGAGTAGGTATCACGGACAGATGGATTGCTGATACGAGAATCGCCACAGACTAGTACCAGGTGAGATATTTCATTTGCAGTTCTGGCAGATGGAGATGGACGGCTGATAATTAAAACAAACAGGCTCAGACATCGACGGACAGGGGTACGTTGGCAGATGGCCAGTTATTAAACATATTGTTAATCTCTCCATAGTCAGATTAGTCTGAAAGCTTCTGAAAGCCACCGCAATCGGGTCCCCGTTATAGACGCGGCGCTAATACGCGTGGATGATCTGATAATTGAATTGCTTCCTCACCGTCGGTCGTCAAGGCAACATCTCTCGCCTTCACCATTGCAAATACCTTTTTTCTCTACCTGCACTTATCTTTGCTTGTCGTCGTCGTCGTTTTCTCCCGCCCGGTGCCCCCTATCCTATTTGTACGCGGAAGCAGTCGCGCGTCGCAGTTTGCACAAGACATAAATAACTCACCCACGATTGGCTTGGCTTTGGGTGGATTGTATCGTTATCTGGATGCTGCGCCACCGCCGCTCGCTCGCGGCGTTCGCGTCCGTCTCGTCCGCGACCGAGTCCACCAATGACCCCGAGGAGGAGGACGAGGAGGACGACGGCCCCCCGCTCCCGCTGGGCCTCGCGCGCGCGTCCATGCGCACTACGCCCAGGAAGCCCGCGTCGTCAGCTGCATCCGTGAACGGGAATGGGAAGCCCATGAAGGACAACGGCCTTATTCGCCGCGTCTCCTCCCTCTTCCGCTCCTCGTCCTCGTCCAAAAACACCGGTGCGTCCCTCCTCCTATCTATCGTACACGCGACTGATATATTTGGATTTGGCGCTCAGGCTCGTTCACGCCCACGGCGCGCTACACGAGCGCCGCCTCCACGCCCGACGTGCGCCTCGTCACCGGGGGGACGTTCATCAAGCGCACGACGTCCGCGTCTGCCAAATCATCCCTCCAGTCCCCGCCCCCCTCCCTCTCCAATTCCACCTCCACCTCGACGCCTAATAGGTCGAGATCCCTCGCCTCCTCGCTCGCCTCCTCCCTCGGCCGCTCCCCCAAGTCGAAGCTCTCCGCGCTGCCCGCGCTCCCCAGGTCGTTCCCTCCTGCGATATCCTCAGGGAAAGCCGCCAAGAACTCGAAGGCGAAATCGAAATTCGGCCGCGGGAAACCGCTCCCCGTGCCCTCCTCCTCTGCCTCCGATGAGGAAGACGAGGAGGATGATATCAGAAGGCCCTCGGGCCTGGGGCAGGCTGCGTCGTTACTCGGTTCTGCTTCCGAAGAGGAGCCTTCTTATTCGACATCGTACGCGGCTCGCGGGAGGGGTTCCGCCTCCGCCTCCTCGGAAGACGCCTCAGAGGATGGGCAGGGAGATGAAGAAGGGGAAGACGACATCCGCCGGCCCGCAGGCCTGGGCCCGCCCGCTGTTGGGGGATTTGGGGGCGAGGAGTGGCAGTTTGGCGTGCGCAGGCCGGAGGGGTGGCTTCCTGGTCGGGGTGCGGGTGCGTCCCCTTCGTCTTCGGCGTTCCCTTCACCTTCAAGGGGTTCGCTGGGGGGGAGGGACGATGCAAGGGGGGCCCGTATTACGGTGTTTCCGACGAGTGCGAGGGGGGCTGTGTTCCCGCGTACAGCGGACAACAGTAATGAAGGGAGCGATGACGGGGACGGGGACGGGAGGAATGGAAGGGCAAGGGACGGCCCCCGAACACGGGCACACTCGGCGCCGATGGCTGCGTTGTTCAGGTTTCCTCTGCCGCCACCTTCTTCGGGGTCGTCGCCTTCGTCGCCTTCTGTGTCTGTGCCTTCGCCTTCGCCTCTTAACTTCCTGCATACGAACGCCGGCTCTATGCCCAAGTCCACGCCCGGCTCGGCGCCCAAGTCCACTTCGCCGCCCAAGGAGGATTCGCCCCCCGGCTCCCGACCGCGCTCCCCCCCGTGTGTACCACCCAAATCCGCACAGCGCCAAGCAGACCTTCTCTTTCAACGGAAACGCGAGCGGCGGACGGCACCACCGCTGCCCGCGCCGCTCTGGGCGCTCATCCTCTCCTTCTCCTTCCCACACCTCACAGGGGAGGGCGAAGGGGACTTCCACCTCACGGAGGCAGACGCGGCCTCCGTGGCGCGCGTGTGCAGGGCCGCGTGTGAGGGGGCGAGGGGGAGGCTTTATGGGGAGGTGTGCTTCGGTTCTGCGTTACTAGGGAGAGGAGAAACGACGCCGACAAGTGGGGACAGAAGAGCGCAACAGCTCCGCGCGAGTCTACGACGGCCACACCTCGCGCGGTGTGTGGAGGGGGTGGTTTGTGCGGGGTGGCCGCCGTGGGGTGGGGAGCGGGGGTTGAATGAGCCCGAGGTGAGTTTTCTACTTTCATTCATCCACTGTCGTGTATCCCGCGTTCTTTTGACGCGTTGCCACTACTCGCGCCCTCCCTTCTTTCACTTTCTTTCTCCGCGTTTCGATGACCACCCTTCCTCCTTCATATCTATCCCCCACCCTAGTTCCGTGCTCCGTCCTGTATATTCGAAAGAGGACATACCTTCTAAAGGTGCATTCGTTATGATGTATCCTCACCATTCGTCTCCGCATCCTGCCCTCCCTCCACCACTCCGTCATTCCTGCCCCCGTCTACCCTCCCCCCGCGCTTCCTTCGTCTGTGTCTCCGTCTCGCCCCCAACGCTCACTCCCCACGATCTTTGCCTTCTATGTTTCCTCATACCTCTTACTCTACCTTCATTTCCCGTCCCCCCCCCCCTTCCTTCCTTTACCTTCCCCTTCTTCACTCCATTTATCCGCGTCCCTTTATACCCCCGCTCCAAATATTGACTTTTCGCAGATATACCTCCCCGCTCTGCGCAGCCTCACCATCTTCCCCCCGGACTCCCCTTCACCCTCGCCCTCCTCGCCCTCCTCTCCCTCGTCAGTCCCCACCCCCACACTCGACACACGCTCCCAACCCCCCGCGCAAGGACTTGACACCCCCGCCCTCCTGTCCTTCCTCGCCTCGCACCCCACGCTCGAGCGCCTCGCCGTCGTCGGGGGCGAGGATGCGGCCGACGATACGTCCGAGGTCGAGGCGACGGAGGATCCACGAGCTCGAGAGCGAGAATCAAAGACGGAGGGACGCCCCTTCCTCCCCCGCTTAACACACCTACACGCCCCGCCCGCGCTCGCCGTGCGCGTGCTTGCCAGGCTGTCTTCCATTGCGCCCCTCTCTACGTCGTCTTCTGGCGTAAACGGCACAGGCAAGCTCTCCCCCGCTGCGCTCGCGCTCCTCGCTCCCGACGCCAAGAAGGAGAGGAAGTGGGCGCTGGCGGGGGCGTTGGTCGCTTCTGCCGGTGCGGGTGCGGGGGCGCTCGTTTCTGCCAGTGCGCTCGCTGCGTCTAAGCAGGCTGAGGGGGGGAGGGATGCGTCTGCTTTGCCTGCAGGAGGGAGTGCGTCTGCCTCGCCTGCAGGAGGGAGCGCGTCGACGTCCACTGCGGGCAGCGCGGAGACGCTGACGGGCCTGGGGAATGCATCTCCAGGCGGCAAGAGACGCATCCGGCGCAAGCCCGCGCCGACGTTTGTTGATGATGAGATTGCGTTGGTGGGAGTGAATGGGATGAATGGGAAGCGGGCGGTGTCCGCCCCGGCGCTGGCGGGGGGTGATAATGGTCTTCCAGGAGGAGCGGGGTTATTTGTGAAGCGAGAGATGGAGGTGGAGAAGGGGATGGACTTGGGAAGGGCAACAAAGGACGCACGGCACCCGCTGCGCGTGCTGCGCCTCGCGGTGCCGCGGCCGCTGTACGAGGGCGGCGCGGCGGCGGGCGGGGGGCGCGTCGGGCGGGCGGTGGGCGAGCTGCTTGCGCGTGGGCGGCAACAGACGCAGGCGCAAGCGCAAGCTCAAGCACAAGCACACGGCGGAGAAGTGCAAGCAGCGGGACACGACGGCGGCTTCGCGCTGCACGTCCTCTTCGGCCCGCGCGTCGAGCGGCGCACACTGGAGAAGGTGCTGCGCACGATTGGGTCGGGCGTGCGCGAGGCAGGGGCGGATAGTCCTGGTGCTGGCGCTGGTGAAAATGGAAGCGAAGGAGGAGGAGGCGATGCGCGGGGCATCGAGCTGCTGGAAGTGCGCAGCGCGGTGCGCATCGGCGAGGTACGTGCATATCCGTCTCCCTCTCTTTCCTTCCTCCCTCCTCTTTTCCTTCCCCATATCGCTGATGCTGACGTTCTTTGGTGCATGCAGCTCTACAAAATCATGCACACGATCCTCCCGCGCTACCCCGCGCTGCGCACGCTCCTCCTCACGCGCCC